CGGGGTCCCTGCTCTGACGATGCGGGTCTTCGCAGCCCACCGCACACCTGCGGAGGCCGGGTAGCAAACAGACTTTGATCCCGGGAGCCGAGTCCACGTGGGGCAGGCCTCGCGGCCGCTGTGTGACAGACAGCAACCAGGGAGGAGAGGGAGGGGGAGCCCCTGTGTGCAGGGCCTGGTGTGCGCCCTCCTGTCAGAAGAACCTAGGTTAGGCGAAAGACTCATAAACAAGTGCTGCAAGTAACTTGTGACTCTGCCCAACACCGAGCTGAGGAGTTAGTACTTAAGGGCGGTCCTGCGAGTGGCGTGGACCGAATCTTTGTAAATGTTTCAGTAAAAGCAAATCGCCCCTATCACCACCATCCCCAGGAGCCCTTGTGTAAAGTCAGATATTTCTGTCACTGATTATCTAAGGACAATTTAGGTACAGACGTTAAGCGGGAGAAACCTGGGTTCTGGTCCTTGCTTTCCCACTGGCCAGCTGTGTGAATTCGGGCACGTCAACTAACTTTTCTAGACCTATGTCTTCATCTATAAAGAAGACATGAAGAAATCCTAAGATTCCTTCTGACTCTAAGATTCTAATGCTCTATGAATTAACAAACATTTTATTTATAGACTACAAACAGCGGAACCCTGCGTTGGTTGCTATGGGGGAGGGGAAAGGCAGTAAGAATACAGAAGAATGAAGACTATAGACAAAAATTTTAAGTTACGATAAAATACCCTTAAATTGTGCCAACACTAGTGTAGATTATATATATGCACCTTGCTCTGAGTGGAGATGAGTTAATCTGGGAATGAAGGCTTCTTGTTCCTGGTGGGGGCGCTGGAATCAGAGTAGCCTGAGCTGGATCTCCAAAGGCCTCACCACAGACCTGAATAGGAGGAAGGACCCCGAACTGCTCTGGATTTCTACAAGACAAATGCCATGCTAGCCAGTGCTTCAGGATCTGTATATAAGGTTTGTTTGGAGCTATGTTATTTTGCACTTTTTTTTATATTTCCATTATTTTTATAAAATTTGTTTCACCTGTATGTGATTTGTGTCTCATCTCCCAATCCAGACTAGGTAGGGAGCTGGATCCTCATCTTCTATTTTTGTTCTGCCAGAATAGAAAAGAATGGAGGAAGGTTTCCAAGACATTATAAAGGAAGAATTGATATGATTTGATGATTAATTCGGTAGTAAGAGGGTGAAAGCTAAGGAGGACAATTTAACAAAGACAGTTCCAGTGTTTTTAACCTAACAAGTAAGATATTGCTTTAAACAGATAAGGAAGTTGGGAAAGGGGGTGGGGAGCAAAGAGCTGATTTTAAGGGGAATTAGCCCTTACTGTGCCTGTTCTTAATGTACTGAATTTGAAATGAAGTCTGGATGGCTGGTGGCAGTGCTAAGGAGTGAGGAGAAAGGTTTTGAGATTTCCATAATTTCCTCTCCTTTGGTATGGACAATTGACATTTTTTTGATCATATAGGTAAACACAGCTTCAAACTTCCTGAAGACCAGCCCTTCCTACACAGAAATTCAGGAGCCACTCATGGCTTAAGATATCCTATGGAAATGGCAGGAGGCAGTTAGAAGATCATTTTGCCTCCTCTTGGGAGCTGCTGTGTCCCTTTATTTCAAAAAATAGATTCCTCCAAATGTGAGAATTTAATGCCCAAAGAGGAACCAATGAAGAGATGTAGAAGGCAAGGATGCTCACCAAACATTGGCTAGCAATCCCTCCCCAACTGGGAGATGTTTAGGCCCATGTAAAAACAGGCTCAATTCAGTAGTCACTTATGAGAAACTATTTTGTGCAGACATTTTTTTTTCTCTTGTAAGCCATATCCCAGATAATGTGCTCTATTCTCTCATAACCTGGTGAGTTTGGGGATGGGAAGGGAAAGTCGAAAGTACATTTTCCAGGTTGTAAAAAAGTTATGCACTCCAAAAAGAGAAATATCATTTATGTGGTAGCTAAACATTTCAGTCAAAAAACCTGTTCTTCCCCCTGGCATTGTGTAGAAAAAGGTAATTTGGTGTCTTGGTTCAAATTTTTCCTTTTTCAGCTGGTTGTCCTAGCACAGCCAGGAGTGGGTTAAAATGAAGGGACCATACTACTATTCACCAGCACCCCTCGAGATTGTGGCCCCAGGTTGAGTGAAATGGCTTGGCCTTTTCTTCCTAATTCTTGAGAATTCTCATGGTAATTTGCTTAGTATCCAAAATGACTAAACTCAGCATACTTTAAAGATGAGAGAATAATGCTTCTTTTGGAAAGAGACTGCCAATTTGAGAGAAAGTCAAATGTTTAACACAAACTCTGCAATCTCAGGGTCCTCTAAGTAAAACCTCTCCCAGCTCTCAATGCCAAGTTCCTCCAACCTGGAGCTTCCTGGCTCAAGGAGCTAGCCTGCAGATTATCAGTCCAAACTGTGAATGTAAAGGGATTCTTGTAAAAACTGCTAAACGCAGACATACCTCTGAACCTTGGTTATAAGAAATCGTGAGTGTATGAAGGCATACCATGAAAAGACCTCTGAACACCAGATTGCATTTAATTCTGGCTGACAGTAAATTGCTTCTAATGTTCAATCTTAAAGCACAAATAATGGGGAAATCAGATCTGGTTGTTTTGTTTTAGAAACTACTTAAATAATTATTATAAACTGAAATCTCTAGCAACTGCACGAGAAGAGAGCCAAGGTTTGAATATTGAGCTGCTCCCTGAGGGAACAAGCAGTCAAAGAGTAAACAAGTAACAATGCACTAATAAAACCCAGAAACATCACAAAAGGGCTCAGAGGTATAAGGGGAACCATATGAAAGGGGCAGAGCAGGAAACCCTACAAGGAAGCAAAGGGGAAACAGGAACAGTACAGAGAGCAGAATGTACACTGAGAAGCCAAGGACGATCACTGGGCTTTTGTATTTCTTAGTTAAGCTAAAGAATGGCACGTGAGAGTGAATAGCAAAAGAAAGCTCATTTTTCTTGGAGACTGAAAACTGGATCTAAGTTCTCCAGTCACGCCTGGAAATTAAATCTAGAAATAAAGGCACTGACACCTATAAAGAAAGGCTTATTAATAGCATTTGTGAATTTCTTGGGTGCAATGTTACATAATACTAGAAATTGTTAAAGCCTCAGGTCATCAGTTTTATAGTTTAAACTGACTGCCCATTCTTTCTTTAGCCTTTCTACTCTAGGGGCTGGAGATTGTAATTAAAGTACAAAGGACAGAAGTTTGAAAAAAAATTTTAATTTAAAACCATGTTTCTATAACTGTCTATTATGTTTCTATAACTGTCTATTATATGTCTGTAAAGATGATGCTGACCAGTAGAGCATTTTGGAAGTATCTCACACCTAATGAATTTTAGAAAGTTTAGGGAACTGGTCCTTAAAAGTTACTGTGTGACTTTGAACAAGTTATTAAAGCTCTCTAGGCCTCACTTTTCACATCTTTTTGGTGAGGGTTGTAAGAGATGGTGTCTTAGCTGGACTTGAGATGTGAGTAAAGGAGATGATACTGCCCAGCTGATGCTCTCAGGTGGGCCTTTCAGGCTACCTGGACTTGGGGTTACCCTGAATCCAGGGCTGAGGTCAATTTGCAGATTAAGAAACTGCATTGTTATCATTTCACCGAGGTGGGGGTGGGGAGGGGGACTGATTCACATGGACTTAAAATGGACTAATTTGCTAGTCAGACCACTTTTTCTGTCCAGAGGGGAGAACTACTTGCACATGGTGGGCAGGGCCTCTTAGAAGCAAGGCTATGAGGGGCAGAGAGAAGTAGCCCAGAGGAACTGGATGTTCTGCAGAGGCAGCATTTCTACCCTCTCTCTCCTAGATAGGGAAAATCTCCCGCCTGTCTGCGCATACGCTCTGCCCTCCTGCCCATGAGTTATACTCCATTTTGCTGCCAGAGTGATCTTTTCAAAACTCAGATCTGCTCACTGCAAAATACACATCCTCCACCGCCACAACCATCATATCTGCCATCCTTCAGTAGCCTCCCAGCACTCTGAGAAGAACCAAACTCAAGCGCACAGGACTGTCTGCCCTCCCCTGCCTCTGCCTCATCCCGTCACGCCCCTTAATAGGGCTGACCTTTCTGTCCACCGAGCATCCGCATGCTCCCTCCTGCCAAAAGGCCTGTGCAGGCACTGTTCCTTCCGCCTGCGATGCTCTTCCCTCCCCTGTTCCCCACCTTAGTTCTTATTCATTCTTCAGTTCTCAGCTCAAGGGCCACTTCCTCAGAGAAGTCTTCCCCAACCCCTCTGACCAGGTTAAACTGCTCTACTACAAGTTCTTTCAGCTCTTGCCCTGATCTTTTGTGGCACAGAACAATGATGCAATTTACATTTATCCATATGAGTGTTTGATTAGATCGTAAGCTCCATGTGGGCAAGGGCAGTGTGTGCTTTTGTTCACCATTGTATCCCTAGTCAACCTAGCTCACTATTTGTTGAATGAGTGAATGTTCATTACCTTTCCCAAGCTTAACAATTCATGCATTCATTCAACAGATCCTTCTTGAACACCCACAGTTCCCTATCTATACTGGAATATGAGAATCAGAGGACTCTTCTTCGGGACAAAGTAGAAAACACCGTGACACATTCTTATTTATTAGCTCACCTTTTTCTTTACTTCAAGCGGGCTACCACCTTTTTGCTGTGATATTATCTCACACAAGATGCAATTAACTGGATGAAACTCAGACTCACCCTTGAAATCTGCCATGATAACATTCCAGGTTCTCATACAGTCTTCGAAGTTCTTCCACATCCTTTATTTAAGGTACGTGATGATCCTATGAAGTTCGCAAGGCAGATTCTACAGATTATGGACTGAGACCCCAAGAAATGAAGAAATTGCTCAAGGTTCCATGGCTTGTGTGGCCCTAATTGCACCAGCGACATGTTTTTCTTTAACTTCATATCCAAATTTGAGGGGAACAAACCCATTTTGAAGCTCAAGACCTCACATGTACTACTACTACGAATTCTATAATTCATCTAAGTTCTAGAAGTTTCTGGTTCTATGATTCTCTTATTAATTTGTAATTACTATAAGGACTAAGGGGAGGTGGCCTACTTGTGAGTGACACCTCTTTAACAGGTCACTCCAACATCTGAGTCTCCAGTGGTACGTTCCAAAACTGGGTCCTATTCACACATAACTCTGTAGAATGAATTAATTTTTCTGCCTACCGTTTTTATCCATTTCTTACTTTTAATTTCTTTAACAACCAGGATGCCTTCCAAGGAACTAACGTTAGTGAAAATACTGACCCCTCACCTGGAGTGACTTGTTAAAATGCCGATTCTGATTCAGTAAGGTCTGCAGTGGAGTCTGAGATTCTGCATTTCCAGGAAGCTCCTGAGTGCGGGGGAGGGACAGTATTGGCAGTCCCCAGATCACAATTTGACAACCAAGGTATTAGAAGCTTATTTTTTTAACCCTGGAAGGAGGCTATTACATGGAATTAAGATATTCCTAACAAAAAAAAGTATCCTCAAACTTAAACATGTTTTAATTTTACTTTTTATTTTATAATTATTTTGTAATGAACAATATCACTTCTGTAATTTTAAAATGAAATCAGATATCTTACCCTTGTAGGAAAGCACTCCTTAAAATTAATCAAACTCCAGGTGTGAATAAGCATTTTGGGTTTTGCTTTCACTGTGTCAGAGAAAAATAATTGCTTTACAGCTTTCGGAAACATTTGGTTGCTCTGACTAGCATTAATGGGTTGGGCTGAGGACTCAGAGTATGACCGGGGGTCTCTTGCATTCAAACCTTTCATTATTAAAAAGGAAATGCTTTTCCCATCAGACATTACTGAACAAATCCACACAAAAAGCCTAAAAGACTGAAAATGAATAAGAGGTGTTTAATATTCAGGTTGCACCAGAAACAGCAATAGTCACCAAGAAGTGTAGGTAGGTAGGAGATGAGAATAGAGATGCTGTCCTCTGCTTGTCTGCTGATTGTAGAGGAAGAGAACAAAGATCTGGCTTCGTGGTGGCTGCATCTACAGACCATTCCCATGAGTCCTTGTTATTGACTTTATGCTTTATGTTGGCTTCTAGGCTTATTCCATCATAGGTCAGAGTTGACCATCTCATAATCTCAAGAGAGATATCATTCAGTCCCCAAAGTGCTGTTGTCTGAAAAGTAACCACAATCAAACTATGAACATTGCATTTCCAGATGCTGCTCAGTAGCCTTCAAATTTGAGAACAATGCTTTAATGGAAAAACCAATGTCTGCTAAATTGGAGCAAATGGGGATTGTCTTATTTCTTGACTGCTTCCTGGTATGGAATCTAGGAAGATGGAAGAGCTAAGTCTAATGGAAAAGAGAGTCTGGTTCCACATGTTTGGATGTGCTATTAAGTTTTCCTTTCCATTTCTGTGGCCAGACCCCCAGTCTAGGCCTGCATATCCATCAGAGCAACTATGTGCACACTTCTAATTCGGTCTCCCATTCCCACTATCTTCCAATCCGTTTAACACAGTGCTTTTTGATCAATATTCTCATATGTCAATGCTCACATGATGTCCTTGCTCAAAATCCCCAGTGGCTGCCCATTACCCGCAGAATAAGGCACATTTTATCTAGGTGTTTAAGGCACCCTGCATGTAACCTTAACTCATCTATCCAAACATCTCTCACCCCTTCTTAACACAAGCTCTCCACACAAGCCAAATTACCCTAAGTAATAGTTCCAAGTTACCTAATGGCTCCGTGCCTCCATTTCCTCAAAATGGACCAAAATAATAACTTATCTTATTGGGTTGTTGTGAATTAGATGAGTTAATATATATATGATGCTTAGGACAATGTCTGGTACATGAAAAGGGTTTGTAATAGGTTGAATGGTGGCCTCCCAAATTTATGCCTATGTTTTAATTCCTGGAAACTATAAATATTACTTCAATTGAAAAAAGGGTCCTTCGCAAAGGTAATTAAGAAATTTGAGATGAAAAATATCATCCTGGATTATCTAGGTGGGCCCTAATTCCAATGATAGGTACTAATAGGGGACACACAAGGTGACTAGACAGACAGCAGAAAAGACCATGTGAAGATGGAGATGGAGATTGCCAAGGGATGCCCACAGCCACCGGGAGCTGAAAGAGGCGAGGAGAGGAATCTCTCCCAGCCCTGCCTACACCTGGATTTCAGACTTCTGCCTCCAGAACTGTGAGTGACTAAATTTCTGTCGTTTTAAGTCGCTAAGTTTGTGGTAATTTGTTATGGCAGTCGCAGGACACTAATACAGGGTCCATTACATTTTAGCTATTATTATTATTATTATTTTCCAAATATGCCTTTTCCTTTTCTTCTCAGCATAATTTTTTTTTTTAATCTCACTGTTCTCATTAAGTGTCTAGCACAATGTCTTGCAATTAGAAAGCAGAATAAGTATTTATTGGAAAGAAGGAAGGAAGAAAAGTCTACCCCTACCACTTATTTGGTGCTATACAACCCACAATAGCTTTTCTTAATTGCTCTATTCCATAAACTCTAGCATACAGTGACGAGAATCCTCATTTGGTACTTTTCATCTGTTGCTTTATAGTGTACCTTTGTGTGTCCCTGTCTTCTCAAAACTTCTTGAGGACAGGGATCCTTTCTTTTATCTTTCTGTATCCCCAGGGCTTAACACATAGGAAGTAACTCAAGTCTGTGGCAATAATAGTAATAATCCCATTGTCAAAAGTTGTCCACTAATTTGTTACTCGTTCTAAAGTTTCCCCAGGCCTTGTGTGAATCTTCATCAATGCTAGCAGCTTGATCCTTGTGTCAACTGGCTTTGCCAACTGACACAGAACCTTCTAGTCCCAATATATTTTAAGGAGCGACAAATGGAAGATGACTTTGAACACGCTAATTCTTCTGCTGAGTAGACTTGTATTGAAATAAGTAGGCTATAGGCCCAGGCCTGAAAATCTTTTCCTTATACATACAGAGATATTGGTTTTCCCAATGTTTCTCACAATGAAATTACTCTGATATTTGTTCACTTGTGAGCCCGTTTTCTTTGAGACCCACGTAACTCCTCTCATTCACTGGTGAACACTTAAGCTCCAGGGAATCAGCTCAGGGAATAATCTGATGACAGTTATTCTCGTGGCTCAACACAGATCATTCTTTTTTTTTTCTTTCACTCAGTTCAAGAACTCAGAGATTGATAATTGCTAATGTGATATCAGATTGACTTTAAAAAAAAAAAAGGTTTCGAACTTAGAAAAAGTTTCAAGGAATCCCATATCGCCTTTACCTGGATTCATCTATTATTACCATTTTACCTCATTTGCTTTAACATTGGCACGCTCTCTCTCTCTTCTGAATCATATGAAGAAAAGTTACATACATCAGGATTCTTCACCCCACTTTGTACATTTCCTAAAACTAGGAATATTCTCAACATAAGCACAGCACATTTACCAACTTTATAAATTTACGTTGGTACTGTCCATATCCAATTTTGTCCATTGGTCTTTTACAGCATTGTCCACACTGCCCCTTCCTATACTACATCAAGTCTACGGTCAGGCTTGTATGTAGTTGACCTTGAATCTGGAACATTTCTACCACTTTTCTTTGAATTTTATGGTGTCGACTCCTTTAAAAGAATACAGTTCCCCTGGCCTTAAATAAAATGCAACGTCCTCATATTGCCTTTATCTGATGTTTTGTTTATGCATTCTTGGCCGGAATATTGCAAAATTAACATTTTGTCCTTTTAAGGGTGTCACAGCTGGAGATACACAATATCCATCTGCCTGTTATTGGCAATGTACATTTTCCTCACCCATCAAGGTGCTGCTTCATTCCTGCACTGTGAATTTTTTTTCCTCCCTTGAACTAATAAGCGGTCTCTGCGGAGATACTTTAAGACTGTGCAAATATTTTGCTCATTAACATTCCTCCCTTAGATTTAGCATCCACTGAAGATTCCTGCCTCATCTGATCCCATCTTTACTCTGAAAATTGCCAAATGATGATTTCCAGTTCCAGTAGTCCATCCACATTTACCAGAATTTTGTTTGTTTGATTGATTGATTTCAGTCTCGGTGTTTTATTGATTGATTGCTTGATTGATTGATTTCTCTGTTTAGTATCAGTAAGGGGCTCATGAATCTTATTTTTTCAGTGGTTTGTAATTCATCACTGTGCTTAATTTTGGTGTTGAATTTGTCCCAGATTTAACCAGTGGGAACTCCCGCAAGCTGGCTCCTGTGTCAGATATTTAATGAAGGTTCCTGAATTCTGATTCAAAGATGAAACACAAGGTGTTCATAGTTATTCTATGCACCCTACATAACAGGAGAGCATGTCATACGGTGGTTAAGGGTTTAGAATTGAGATAGATCTGGGGTAGATTCTGGCTTTCCTATATACCAGCGATGTTTCTTGGGTAGATGACTTACTGTCTCTGTGCCTCGGCTTCCTTATGAAATATGGTAATGTTAGAACCTACCTCATAGGGATGTTGTGAGAATTACATGATATCATATATGTAAACTGCTTAGTGGAGTAACTGTCATATCAATACTTAATACATGTGAGCTAGTGCCATCATTTTATTTCTCCATATGACAGCTTGTGCATGGTCTGGGCAGTCTCAATCGCTATTATTTCTCCCTTCTGCTAGCAGCCACCATCGAAAAGTCATATCCCTCTGCCCTTTTCCAATATATTTTAATTAATTGTTGAATATTGTAGGTCTCCAGGGATCCACAGATATCTTAGCCCTGCTTTCCTTTTGTTGAAGACGAGGTGTCTGAGACCCTTCGAGGTTAGATGGCTTGCTTTGGGTCACCCAAGAAGAGTGGAAGAGCTAGGAAGGGTGCCCAATCTTCAACTACACACTCGGCGTGATATATCCTATCTCTACCATGATCAAGAGCAACATTCATTTGGTTTCTTTTCCCAGTCAAGGGTATTATTCAAAGCATCAGTGGGAAGGCATCATTTTCTGTATGACTCATCCTCGTTCCAAGATTAACATGCTCCACTTTCATTCTTTGCCTCCCACTCAGTTTCATATCCAGCGGGGGCCCTGAGAGTCTCTATGTCCTGTCTACTCCCCACCCCTCCGGCTCGCTCCCCTCCCCAGCTGTGCTCTTACCTCCTGGCCCCAGACTGTCCCACCATCCTCAGATTCCAACGGCTACTTTCGCTGGACTCTGGTTTAAGAAAGGCATGTCTTCCTGAAATACCCCTCTGATCTATGTTGAAAATAGAAAAAAGAAATATACTTAAGTTGAAGCAGATGTACAGGAGGAACAAGTGTTTGTCCATATGCTTCGGGCATTCCATTAAGGTCCAAGCATTGCAGCAAAAAGCATGTATTTCTGAACATATATATTTTATTTCAAACTCCTCCTCCAAAAAATAAATAAATAAATAAATGAAGGATTCTTCTGATGTGATGGGATGTTATTGAACAAAATAGAATTGGGAATAAATGTGCTGTTGGCTGTGGCTTGGGGGGATCTTTTTATTGTGCCAAGATTTTAGGTTTTGTGCTATTTTTTGAAACACGCTCTGACCTGTATAATTTGAGCCTGCTTACATCAAAATGCTAGTAAAATACTGAAATATTTACAGATGGAATGATATGATGAGTGGGATTTGCTTCACAATCATTCAGGATATGGTGGAAAGTGGACTGGGGGCAAGGGACGGTGGGGAGAGACAGATAAAGCAGGATTGCTTGTGAATTGATAAAATTTGAAAGAGACTGATGAGTACATGAGGCTTCTGCATCTTTTTATATGATTGAAATGACCTATAATGAAAAGCTTTTAAACACTAGTTTAAATTTTCATAATTTGCTTTTAACTTTTTCCTCTTCTTTGTTTCTTTTTCTTTGTTTTTTTTTTTTTTTTCTCTGCTGCTCCTAAATCTGTCCTTTCTTGAAAGCTGGCTCAGGTTGTGCACCCTTTAATAAAAGCTTTCCAACTACTTTAATCCATGAGAGCACTAACACCTAAATGTGTATTTTCTTGCATTAGCCCGAGTTAGTCTTGTAGTCCCATCAGCCTAGATACTTGTTAAAGGCAGAGAGACTAAATCTTATACTTTGGGGTAAAGCTGGACTCAGTCATTGCTTCCTAATTGATGGACATGGTTGTTGGTAAATTGATAAAAAGTGTTCTGAAAAGAGACAATATACTGAACAGGTTATAGATTTGTCATATTTTTTTTCTTTAAAGCTCTTCTGCATAGAGTTTGCAATCTCTCATTTTACCTGTAGGGAGAAGTGGCTTAAGAGATATCCTATCCCAGTCGAAGCATTTCATGTTAGGTAGCGATTCAAGAGCAATTAATGCAAATGACAGTGGATAGTTTACCCTCAAAGGTGACTTACTGAAATAAAATCCTAAACATGGGAATAATCTGAGAACTCTGCATCTCTTCCATTGCACAGTCTAATTGAAGGAGGCAGTAGTAGGGTGGGAAAATGTCAAAAAGAAAATGTCAGTTGTTAGCTTTCAAAATTTTGCCCGAGGAGCCATATAAGAACCATCTCATTTTAGGCTTGTCTATGCTGGTTTAATGCAGGTTGAGAGCCAAATTCAAGGGGAATCTCATTAAGCTGCAGTTTGCTTATGAGTTTCTTCATATACACTGGTCTTTCAAGATGCTTAGAACTAGTGTCTTTTTCAGACCACGGGAAGAGCCCCTGCAAAGTTGGAAAGAGTCTAAGAAAAGTTTCTCCTCTTTCTTTCTTCTCTCACTGGGGAGCACAGGGGAGTCATCCCTGTCATGAGACTTCTCCCATCTCTAAGTCCTCTTGGAAAGGAGACACCACAGCCCCCCTTGAGATCAGATTTAACTTCAGTAATAGCCCTCGGAATCAGAAAAATCTCTTCCATCAGCCAAGTTCCGATGGTCATGGATACTGCTGCTTCATAATTTCTGTGCAGATGTACCTCATTTTTCATTGCTTTCCACTTTATTGAACTTTGCAGATATTGTGCTTTCCACAAATTGAAGGTTTGTGACAATCTTGCATTGAGCAAGTCTATCGGTGCCATTTTTCCAACAGGCTCAGATGATGGTTAACATTTTTTTATTAATAAAGTATTTTCTCATTAAGATATGTACTTTTTTCGACATAATGCTATATATTCTTAATAGACTGTAGTATAGTGAAAAAATAACCTTTACATGAACCGGGTAACCAAAAAACTCCTGTGACTTGCTTTATTGCGATACTAGCTTTATTTATCAGTGATCTGGAACCAACCCTGTAATATCTCCAAGGTATGCCTGTATTTGCATTCCATTGATTTGCCTCTCAGTCTTCTCCAAGGAAAGTAGTCCCTGGAGATGATGGATCAGGGAAGTACAATTGTCTGGCATCGAGGGAGGGCAGAAAAAGCCAAAAGTACAGAACAGTCTGCCTTTTTCTGCTAAAGTTCCCCACAGAGCATCTCCAAGATGGTCTTTTAAGACTTCCCTGGCATCAACTCTTTGATAGAACAAGTGAGGCCTCACAATACAGAAACACTGTTCTCTCCATTAAGCACTGATTGGGAAGGTAGAAAGAGTAACAGCAAGAGTGTGTTTGCTTAGAGTTAAGGAAGAACTGTAGGGAAGTGCAAACTTGAACCAAGAGGAGGCCTTATGAAGCCTTTGCCCCCAGATAATTATCAGTTTTGGACGGTTTCACTGTTCACCTGAAGCCAAGCAAGTGGACCAAATGACCTCTTGAAATCCCTTTCAGCTACAGTGTCCTCTGATTCTAGAAACCCAGCAAGTTTCCCTTTTGTTCTGGTTGTACTCTGAACTCCAGGCGAGTCACCTTGGCTGGGCTTTCATCACTCACTTTGAACTGTAAAACACAGGTGGTTGTAATGGGTGACAGTTCAGTGTCTAGGTAGCTGTATGACTTACCACTGCCAGATTTCTGCTAAATAATGTGGCTCTTTTGAGATAGGTGATAATGGTGTATGGCTAAGCTCCTACAGATAGACCCAGTATAGAGGCGAGACAGAAGTTTTCCAGAGTGTTGAAGGATATTTTCCTCCAGGAGGAATGCATTTTCGTGTTCTTTTAGGTGTGCTGTCAATAAGAGACCTTCTTTCCCCCCAGGGGAGTTCTGAGGCAGCTTACATTCCTTTTCCCCAACACCCCGAAGTATTTTCTAACTACAGCATAAATTAAACTTCAGCACTATATGGAGGGTATACTATCTCTCAACAAACACTGACTTCTTGACTGATGTGAAGTGTGTCTCTTTCATTCAGTGAAAATGCCCACTTTCAAATTCGGGAGCTTTGGGAGAAAGGATTAGGGAAGGGCAGTAGCAGAGAGGCCCCTCTGGGAAGTTGTAGCGTAAACGATGAGTTCTTCAAGAAAGGCTTTGTGCTGACCATGACGCTGAGAGCCAGCTTTTGTAAACAGGTGACCACAACCACAAACCACAGGGCATTAGGAGTGCATGTACAGGAAACAGGGGGAGACACGTGTCACACATTTCCCTATCTCATCTACTACAGTGGAATACGAAAGGCTGTGGCCCTGTCTTTGAAAACGAAAGTCAGATATGTCTAAACAGCTGTTACCCAAATGTTTGTTTGGCAGTGGCATAAATCACTGAACAGCGCTCCCAAGCACACATTGGAACCTCACTCCATTCTTCAAGGTGAGCACGTGGGCAGTTGAGGATAACTAGGCAGTTTGGTAAGAATACCTGTTTCTTTACACTTCTACTTGTAAAAAAGGACACTGGATCAGAGTCAGGAGACCCGGGCGCCAATCCTGGCTCTTTGACAAATGATCACTGTTAACTTAGACATATTGCTTTCTCCCTCTGGGTCTCAGTTCCCCATATCTGAATTCAAAAATTACTTCGGGGTTATTCAGATGTCAGGCCCCCTTCCAGACCCATAGCATCAGTGTCTCCTCGGGTGGGAACTGGACAAGTGAAGTTTGCGAAAGCTCCCAAGGAGATTCTTGTGTGCGTACTGAAAGAACCACTGGATTAAGAGGTTGCTAAATTCTATGATTCTCCAAGATTGAGAGGGAAGAAAAAAATTAGTAGGCAGCTCTGTAAAGGCAACAGTTTATCACTCAGCCCAGCTCAGGTCACTCAATCTCAAAGTGTGGCTGGCTGGGGGCTGACTGCTCGATTGTGCTTCTCCGGGTGGTGGTTGGGCTTGGTTTTGAAAGTTTATATTGTATAATGAAAATGCCAGTGTTCTCAAGCTTTGCATACATTAATAAATAATTAAGATAATTCTATAATTACCAGACATGACTTCATTGGTTACCATTATTCTAATGGAATCTGCTGAGGATGCTTATTTTCCCCTTCTGGAGATGTGATCTACAACCTCAAAAATTCTCTAAGAGGGCCTCTGAGAGAACCATCTGGCTGAGCTAGAGATGTTAAGAGCGTTACGCTCACGACTCTTTTCTCATTCTGAGTGCTTTCCCTGGAAGGTTTATATACATCTGTGGGTTGAGAATGGTGGCGAGAGTAAGGTAACATTTGGCCAGGGAGCCCAGGGAGGCCTCTGGCCAGCAGCCCCCTTCTTCATGCTCAGAGGACAGTGGCGACAACAAAGGCTGTAACTCTCAGACATCAGCCTTAACCTCTAATGTGGAGCGTAAGGTCTAGGCTGGATGGACCCCGTGCAGAACCCCTTTGACTTAGGAATGAGGCAGCTTTTTTTTCCCCTTTATCCTTTTTCTATAAGTTCCCCTCCGAGTCCTGGATCTCACTCTGTCCTGTGGAGAGGAAAGTCCATGCAGCAAGAAGAGAGCACAAGAAGCAGGGCAGCAGAGCAAAGGGCATTTGTATCATTACTGGGAACAGAGCCAGTCCAGACAGCCCACCCCAGGATTCCTAGGCGGGGGCAGCAGCAGCCTTTTTGACTTGACAGACAAATGCAGGTATCCAAAGAAAGAATGCTAGAGTGAGCCAAAGGGAAGGCAGATGCTACTTCTCCAGCAAAATCCAGAAAGCTCCTAGGAAGAGAATCTTGATCGCTCTTTGATGTTGAGTTTCCACCAAACGTACCTTTCCTGTTAAGTGTGTCTTTCTCTCTTGTATTCCTAGGATTAATGTAGTTGCTGACATATAGTGGGTCCTATGGGTTTCTTATAGACTGAATGTCTGTGTCTCTCCCAAAATTCACATGTTAAAGCCTTAACCCTCTCCATGTTGATTCTTGGAGATGGAGCCTTTGGGAGTTCATTAGGGTTCGATGAGGTCATGAGGGTTAGGCTTTTATGATGGGATTAGTACCTTTGTAAGAAGAGACACCAGAGAGCTTGCTTTCTGTCTCAGCATGCACTAAGAGGAGGTCACATGAACATACAGCAAAATGGCGGCCACCTACAAGCCAAGAGAATAGGCCT